TCCCTCATGAATACAGATGCAAAAATCCTTAGCAAAACTTTAACCAATATAATTCAGCAATATATAAAGAGAATTATACCACATGACCAAGCGGGGTTTATTTCAAGAATGTAAGGCTGGTTCAAGATTCAAAAACCAATGTTATCTACCATATTAACAAGTTAATGAAGAAAGATCCTATGATCCTTATCAATTTAGGATTGTCAAATTAGGATTGCAAAAAGCATTTGACAACATTTAACACCAATTTATGATAAAATCTCCTAGAAAATAGGAATAAAGGGGACTTTCTCAATGAAAAAGACAAGGAAGGGCATCTATAAGAACTCTATTTGATGATGAAACACTGAATCCTTTCCTCCTAAGATTGGGAACAAGGTGACGATATCTCCACTCATTGCTCTTACTCAATATATTGCTGGAAGTTCTAGGTATTGCATTAAGAAAGGATAAGAAATAAAAGGCATACTGATCACAAAAAAAAGAAATAAAACTATAAGCATTTGCAGATGACATGATTGTCTATGTAAAATACCCCAAGGAATCTACAAAAACCTCCTAAAACTATTGAGTTCAGCTGGGCCTTAGAATACAAGATAAACATACAAAAATCAATTGTATATACACCTGCCATACACATGTTCATATGGAAATTAAAAATACAATATCACTTATAATCTCTTGAAAATGAAATGCTTAGGTGCAATTTTAATAACATTTAATAAAAGTGTATATAGAATGCAATACTAATTAAATAAATCAAAGACAGAAGGATCAGATTTGACCTGAAAGCTTTTTACGACCAGGTCTTCAGCAACACAAGTTACTAAAAGCTTGTCTTACTTTTGGATTGAATCTCTAGCTTCTGAAGATGTAAGGCTGGTGTTCTTTATTTTGATCTACAGTATTCATTTATAATTGATTTATTCAGTATTTCAGATCTATCTTTAAATAGCTGAGATAAAACTTTCAGAAGGCATTAGAAAACTCAATCTTGTATCAGTAAATTTTCGTTGAGGCTAACTAACTACATTTCTAAGTTTTCCACCAATGCTGACAGGTTTTGGAGTTAGCAACTACTGTCTAGCTGTACTTACAGTAAACACTTAAAAGTTGTACTTTGGGTTTGCCAAAGTGGGAATTAATGCCCTTTTAAGTTTATTTAAAGACTCAGTGCAGTTCTAGCAGACTCCTTCTAAAACAAGTAGGGGTGTTGTGCATGTAACGACTGCACAGGAAATCTGGTTTTGCCTTCTACCACTTACATTTTAAGCAGAAATACCATCGCTACACCAAACCTGCAGGAATCCCACTCTGAGTAATCAAGTGACCAACCTCTTAAAAACCTGCCAGAAACAACAGTCTCTATAAAAGTCTATTTAGTGTGTCAGTTATTTAGTTTAATTTTCATTTAAAATTAGAATTATTCGGAGAAAAATATTACATTATTTTCATGTTAACCAAATGCTTGCCCAAACAAAGAATTAAAATTTCCATATATCAACATAGTATCTGAATTATGAGAAAACGGGTTAGCAGGAGCCATTGAGAGGGTGTTATTCCCTTTTGATACCAAAAAAAAGAAAAAAGAGAGAAAGATTTGTCAAGAGTAGAGTAGGGTTAAATTTAAAACATTTTGGAACTTTGCCGGGGATACACAAAATACATGGGCTTTCAGTGCATGCTGAAGAAAGCTGGCAAATTCCTTTTAGCTTTTTCTCGGTTTTCCCAAGCTCTGCCTTCTGTTGGGAGCAATAATTTACAAAGGTCTAAAGAAAAACTATAAAAATCAACCCTATGAGGACGCGCTAGCTCTGAATCCAGACGCTACCACCAAAAGGAGGAAGACTCCTTCTTGGAAACATTACACACAGATCACCTTTTAAATTAATAGCAATTATTTTAAAACCTATTTTCTTTTGGTTCACTTTCATACTCTGTGCCCAGGTGTGTTAGCAGCCAGGTACAAAGTAAGTTCCAAATTAAGTCAACAAGTGTTTATTGAGAGACTACAGAGGAAGGCAGGAAACTGCTGGGTGCGGAAACTGTGTTTCTATAGGCTCTGTTCTGCCTGGGGAAATTGACTTATCATTTACAAGCAGTGCTTCTAAATTTTTTCCATCAAACTCCTCATGGGAAAGAAAATTCTGAGGCTCTCTGCTTTGCTCCGTGCATCAGTGTTTCACTCTTGCGCTGGGTCGGTCGTCTGCCATCACCTCAACATCGTGGCCTCCTCCTTCTGCCATGTCCTCTGCATTGCAGGGAAGCCGGAAACTACATTTCACACAGTCACCTTCGATTTCTGGTTCTAAGCCAGAGTGGACCAAGGAAGGGCATTTCCACGAGATTGGGAAGGCAGAGAAAGGAAGACGCCGCCCTTCCTCAGAGGCTGTCGCGGGCAGGTGCTGGCCGGACGCAGACAGCAGCGTTGCAGCGGCTTCACGATCTCTTGCAGGTCACCTGCCTCGGTGCTAACAGCCAAGACAGTCACAGCTCCTTGAGACTCACGGCATCAGGGCTGCAGAGACGGGCGACAGGCTTCCCAGTGTTTCCAGAGTCACAGTGGCTCCCGGCCAGCTCCTGAGACCTGCCCCAGGTGGGGCTGCTGCGGCACCTTCCCTCTCCTGCCCTTCTGAAGCTGCTGGAGGCTTTTGATTCCCCACATTGAAACCCTTTGCACTCGTATCAAGTTATCTTGATAGAAACATTAAAATAGTTTAAATTAGCACTAAAGGAAAATGAGTTTCTTACATGTCCTGTTAACTCAAAGAATGAGATGCTGCCTTGCTAAATCCAGTGATTTTGGAAAATGCTGAAATGATAATGACCCTGCAGGTTTATATCCAATTTTTATTTCCTGTGTTTCACTATTTGGAGGACTAAATATGCGGAAAAAGTGGTTTACTTTCACCAACTTATGAACTGGACAGTTGTTATGTAGAGATGTCACGCATTCTGTTGAAGAAGTGGGATAACATAAAACAGGCTCCTATTGGTGTAAATTGTGCCAAGTGCTGTTTCCTTGCTGAGAATTCTAGCTGCTCAGATCTTACAGTGGACCGAAGAGGTCTGGGTTGCACAGGTTAGTTTTTTTGTTTTCTTAAGTGAATCATGAAAATGTACAAACAACTGCTTTTTTTTTTTTCCTTTCCAGGAAAGGAGGTTGCCTGATGACGTTCTTTACCACTAATGAGTTATTTTCATCAGACTTAAATGAATTACAAATGTCACATAACTCGTCATTTACCCAAACAGCTCTCTTTATTCCATTTGGAAATTTAATTTTTATTGCAGCAACCTGGTTGCGTGTTAAAAATACAGTCACTTTTTCAGTTCAAATAGTAAGTGCTGAACAAGTTACCCTTGTGAATTGCTCTTTACTATCAAGGTGGAAGATGACCTTTTTTCTTTCTACAGGTTTTATCTTTCATTATGAGTTTTTTCTGAATGAATAAATGGAAAAATTATGCCAACTAGGAAACCTATTCTGCACTTTGCTTGCTAAACCAGACTAATTTTGTGGGACAAGGTTTCCAAAGTCATTTTGTTTTTATCTATTTACCTAAAGAGATTGGTATTCAAAACATTCTTTTGTACAGAGAAAATTTTACCATTTTTGACCAAAGAAGTAAAGACCTGGAGGACCTCAGGCAACCTCTTCAAGATGCAGTGTTCTTAGTCAATGAAGCACCGCCACTGAGCACCCAGCGCCACAGGCTGCATCCATGATGTGCTGTCCTACCTCAAGCTCCGTCTATGCCCACAGCTCTGTTTCCTTAAAGTTGATCCCATGCCTACCAAAGAACAAGCTGTATTATGTTGAAGTAGTACCAGTTATCTTCCATCATCAATCACTATGCAAAACCAAAGCATTTTCATAATACTAATGACCAAGACAATAGTCAAACTTCATGCTACACTGTCATTCGATTTAAGCAAAAAAGGCTGGTGAATGTCTATCTGTGTCATTCAAGTAGGCCTTTGGAGCACACTGAAATGAGCAATGTATTACTCCAGCAGGAAAATGTTCTTCAGTTTGAAACTGGCTGACCCACACAGATTGAGATATGCTGACAGTCATGAAAACTCTTTTTCCAGAGCGTAAACTTCACCTTGCAAAGAGATTCTAAAACTAACTGGAAGGAACACTTAAAGAAGTTTGAAAATCTGGCTATTGTACTGTTTTTAATTTTTTTCTAGTCAAGACTATTCTGTGTTCCAAATATTCTGTGTAAATTTCTCTCTCAAAATTATTGGTTCTTAAAAGAATGCAAGCCACTAAAGTTTCCGTTTTTAATCACTGATTTGTATCCCAGTTAAAATAGTTTATGAAATATTACACTTTTATAAAACACACTGAAATCATGCCCCCCCCCCCAATTAAGTGCTTTTGCTGTTGCTGGGACCTCTCCATGGAATGAACAGAAATAAACGCCTTTGCCTAAATGAGAACAAACATTTTATCAAGTACAACTGTGACCAAAAATTGAATTGATTTGTGGCAGCCACTGGGACTTTTATACAGCCACAAGCTGCTGCTGTATCACATGAAAGAGCATGCTCCTCTGTACTCAGAGAAGGAACATGTTCAAGCAGGCCCGATGGGTTCATACTGACCTCCGAAACGGTCATATCCTATCTGTATGAATTCTCCTCTCTGCATTATCCAACCTGTTCACTAAAGCAAGCTGATTCTGCTGAACACAAAGTCTCAAAGTTTCTAATTGTTCATGCACAGAGAAGTTTCCTAGAGTCTCTTTTGTGGAAAAAACTGAGTTTTGCAACAAATAAAGCAGCTTCTACCTGCTAGTGGAAAAAACCTCTTAAGATCGCCCAAATAAAAACTTTGAGTGAACAGGTATTCTAGAAAAATGTAGAATGGCCACCATATGGTCATAATCTCCTCAAAATTTCAGGTACCCCAGTGGCAGGAGTGTGAAGTCAATGTCAACTGTTGGTCCCATGGAAGCAAAACCTCATGAACTGTAACTACCCAGACACACTTTCAAAATCATCTTTATTTTGGTTGCAAAGGTACAATTCATTAGTTACTTAATATATTATTTGTTCCCATTTGAAGTCTCATAGTTTGCCATGTAAAACAATGCCTTCGCTATCAAACTGCTATATAAGAACATTATAAAATACAAACTACAAACTAAGATAATCCCCTTTACAGTGTTCACATTAGTGCATCAAAACAATGTTGATTTAAAAAGGCAAGTGAGTTAATTGGCAAACATCCCATTCCTTTTCTAACAAAAGACGGTATAAAATGTCACAAGGTAAACATTACATTTTAAGTGTTAGGTGTTCAAAAACAATAATTGTGGGAAAGTTATTTCCCAAAAGTAATTTTGCCCTAAGGATAAAAATGTAACCATTATTCTATAACACAAAGGAAGGTAATTAATTTTCCACCATAATAGTTGTAGAAATAGTGGATAACAAGTTGGGACCTTAGACTTCTAAGACAATAGATGGTGCTTTGTCATACTCTTCCTCCAAATTACATTAAACATTTATAGTGACTACACATACCTCAGTAAATGTCAGACTAAAACAGATCCTATGCAAAAACAATCTATCCTCATATTTACTAGGCAATCTACAGCAAATGCTTAATATATACACATCAGGAGTATGAGATATACTATGGAATTATTCATGAGTTCATTTGAGTAAACAAGGGACTTAACAGAAAACCAATCATAAAAGTTAAATAGATAGTTTATGCTGTTACGTACCTTAGAGGAAACAAAACAAAACACACGACAAACAGATAACGTTAATTTTGTTAAGTTGTTGAGAATATTTCCTCTGCTGACCCAAATCAAAATTAAATTTGAGATTTTTAATTGATGTAACACAATTCTGGGTGCATGTTACACTGACAGAAAGACAGATGTACACAGAACTTCACACACACCTTTAAATTTACTAATTCCAAAAGCTAAGTCAACAAGAATAAATAAATTAGAAATGAAAGGTATATACAATGTAGGCAACAACCGAACAGTCATTAGACCGAAAGCACAGAAGGTATATGCCAGCAGTGATATTTAGAAAAACTTTCAGTATTAGAAACTATCAGTTCTAATCCAAAGGAAGCTTAACCCCCAAACAAAAATAACAAAGTATGGGAACCATTCTTTATGCAATAGCTTAAAAATAATTAAAAAAAACAGGATTACAGGGAAATCTTCCTACATAATTTAGCTAATGTAGTGCAACAGTGTGCTCCTTTATAATTTTAGCTTGACACTCTCCATATGATGAGACCAATAATTACAATTCCGATGATAAGGATAAAAATGATGATGCACAGGGTTTTCCTGGATTTGCGCTGCAGATGTAAAAATAAAAAACATGTTTACAGATGTAATGGAGCATCTCTATAGCAACTGAACATTATTTGGCTCATTTCAAGTTTTTATTGCCCTCAAATTTTGGCTCTACTTTTTTTTTGCTGTTCAAAAATCTCTTAAATACATATGGCACTAATTTTTCAAGTAAATTTTCTTGAATTAATTAATTATTCAGGGGTTAGTGATTGAACTTTTGTTAGTCATTTTTCTGGGTGTGGTTAGGCTTCAAAAAGAAGACACAGCATAATGAAAGTTACTAACTTCAGCAACAGACTGAGGTTATCTATGTATGAAAACAGAGAACAACTTAAAAAAGCTTATACATTTTTTGACTTTTATCAGAAAGTTGCTCTTCAAAATAAGTTCTCTGAAAATATCAGCAAGTATGTTTGGCAATTTTTCCTAAAGCAACTTTGTTGTTTTCCATAATCATTCTCACTCTTTAATATTAATGGAAACTGCATTCACAATCTCAACATACAAATAAAAAAAGAGCTAAAAAAATTATAATACAATCATTTAAAAAGTAAAGGTTAAGAGTTGTGCTCCATTCTTCATTCCTGGCCCAGCTGTAGATTTCTATTTCTTTAATGGCTTATGTATCTCACAGCAACATGCAGGAGTCCTTTTTCTTACAAAAGAGAAAAATTTGTAAATTTGCTTTGTGTCAATTATACAAAACAAAGAATTTCCAGGAAGATATGTTTCTGACTCTGAAATATCCTGGCAACTATGAATACTTTCAGGATTCCACATATTCATCTGCTTTTTCAACTGAATACTCCTCACACATTAAACACAGCTTCTCTACAGCTTCAAGGTCATCATGCCTCCGTGTTTCCCACAGACGCCACTCAGTCCCCACAGCTGCGTGTGTGATGTGTCTACCGAGCAATCACAGGGACTCCACTCCAGTTCCTTGCTGCCTAGGGCAGCCTCTCTAGTGTGGAGGAGGGAGGTTGTGAGTGCGACGATGACAGGGGCATTTATCACCTTCCTTTATGCTCGTGGTTCACCCACATGGTCTAGAAGTGCCATATTTCACCAAGACATGAGTTTTCTATCAAGGCTCCCAAGCAGAGCTATCAGGAAGCTGCTCTTTCCTGGCACTGGTGTTGTCTGGCTCTCTCCTCATCCCTTCAGGGCCTGTGAGTGTAAGTATGGGGGCAGCTCCAGACCTGGAGGTGCAGCTTAGGAAGATGTGTTCCTTTTCCTCAGGTGGCTGCATGCTTGTCCTTCCACAAAGAGGAAAAGTAAAACCTGGATATATCTCTATATGCTGCCCAAATCCAAAAGCAAAATGAAATAATATGTAAGCCTAATCACTGATGAATCCTGATGCTTGAGTAGTTACAACTGTTGGCACTAAGTGCCATGTGTGTGTGTGTAAAAACGACATTACAATGAGAGGGAACTTCTACGATTAGTGAGAAAAGTGAAAAGCAACTGAAAATATCTAAGATGGTGGCACTATCTTAGATATTTTATAAAAAGGTAGCAAGGTCTGAGAAAATAATTATGAAAAACAACAAAATATGGAGTTTTAAAAGAGAAAGCAAATGCTATGGTTGTATCTAGGGGTTTCCAAAAAGCCTGGTTTTACCCTTGCTGTCTTCATAATGTATGATATATTAATAGCTCATGGTCCTAATATTTGTATAGTACTTTATATTTGATGTGTACATACAAACTCCCTATATTACTCTGATTCACTTAAGAAATCAATTCATTCCTAGTGAAGGGTCTGCTAAATGCTGAGAGAGTATGATCGAGGACACTCCAGGCAAGAGTAATTTCCAAAGGACCTGATGAGATCTCTCTAGGACAAAGATCTTTGCTCTTCAGTGCAGGGTGTCACTGATGAAAAGAGGAAAACGAAGTGAAAGGGAACAGTGGGAAATGGAGGGAGAAGGTGTCCGAGGTTTCTGGGTCAGAAGGTCACAGAGGCACTGGAGACCACCAGCTGTCAGAAAAGCTGGGACTGTCTGCTCCTCTCAGGATTCTAAGCACTGAACTTCCTATCCTGTGGACCACAGATCTGGCTCAATTCTGAGAATAAACAGGATAAACTCAGTTTAAAACTGACTGGTGCAATTTCTGACCTGTCTTCCATAGGATTTTAAATTTAAACATCTCCAGCCACTTTCAGCCTGATCTCCCTCTCTCTCTCACACACACAGGATTAGAAGTCTAAATTAGATGACAATTTATTAGTTAATATTACCTGATATTCTGCCGCTCTTGACAGCTGCTGGTTTGCTTGCTGGACATGCACCTCTGCATTTTCAACATTGGCTTCTATGCTATCTTTAAAATAAAACACATACACACACACATGAAACTGTTACATGTGTTGGTGCTCCAGTAACAGAGCTGCATAAACCATGAGATTTCATGCAAGGTAAGATTAAGCATGTTCACTACTCATAGTTAATAGTAGTAGTATATGGGCAAAGCTGAATTTCTTCTTAAACTGGCTGTGATTCTTCACTATACTATTTCTCAGATGATCCAAACTATACATAAAATTTTGAGGAAAAGAAACTTGACAACACAACTCCAATCCTACCTGGTAACTCCTGAAAATCACTGTCTCCTTAGTTTGCATTCTGATGGCCACCTGAGTACTAAGCATCTGACAACTTTCATTTAGGGTAAATAAAGGGAATTAAAAACTATCATTTGCTCTGTGGCTATCATCAACCTCTTTCTGTGCTAAAACCTAGCCTTCCCTAAGGGCCCATGTGCCAGCTCTAGTGGTTGTTTTCCTTCCCATCATTTACTTACTTTTCTTTCTTTTATGAAAAAATTATCTCTCTCTCCAATTGAATTATAAGATCCATGAAGTCAGGGTCTTTTATCTGTTGTTTAATTTCAGTTGAATCCCCAGTGCCTATATATATTTGCACCTGGGTATGGTAGGCCCTCAATAAATAGTTACTGGATGAATGAATGAATTGCATTCTGAAATTTTACCCCATGATCTCCTGGTGCTTCAGAGGAGGTTAAGAATGGACAAACAGTTATATTAAACTACAGGTCAAAGTATTTGAAACGAACTAAATTCAGAAAACATTAAATGTATCTTTACACATACCCAGTGATATCTTCGTATTTCAAAATGACAAAAGTGACCAGGATCCTAATCAATACTGACAATTAATTACACCTTACTTGGAGAACTATTACATTTAAAACTTAGAGGAAGTCTTGGCTCCTGACATTTTAAAAGAATTCTTAAATATTTTTTAGCATCTAAGTAATACTACTAGATTCATCTACTGTAAAGATACTAGAATGACTGGTTAGGCAAAGAGCTACCTATTTCCTCTAACCTAAAAGACAAGATAACTATGCACAATTATCACTAGCACAAGTTTCCGGAACAGTCCTTGGTGTGATGACAGTTAAACTGGGATAACACTGAAACCAGGGGTCTGGCTGGAGTGATGTTCCATGGTGCCTTCCATGGTCTCAGTAGCAGTATATTAAGTTTGGGGCTTCTGAAATACATGAAGCTGGTCATTTCAGCCATTAGGAGCTGAAAACGAGACCTGTTTTAGATAACTCCAATGATTTTGTCTGTTGCAGAGATTGTGCTTTTGATTTCAGGGGCACCAAAAGAGAGAGAGGAAGCAGTTATGCTTGCCTGAGAAGTCACCACACATAAATTGCAAAGGTTGCTCCCACCTCATGAAATCTAATCAGCAGGCTTACCTATCACATCTCCTTGCTCATGAATCATCATTCCCAAATCTTTAAATATTTCATTAATATCCATGATATCAGCCTAAGAGAAAACCACACATATTAGTATAACCAGAATTCAGTCCCCAATCCAGAAAGAGGGAAAAATTAAAAAATAAAAACAAAAACTACCATTCATACATAAGTGATCTTACTACTCGACCTAATAAACAAATTCTGGACATATCAAGGAATGGGTTTCACTATAAGCAATCCTAAGTAAGGAGATCTTCAATAACAGTAATCAGTTCTTTAAAAATAAGTTTGTGTCATTAAAAATACCAAGCAAGGCAGGATGGAAATGAAGGGTCTATAACAAAGAAGGGCCCTGGTTACCTAGTTTATGTTATGCAATCTGATGGTTTTGTTATCACAAGCAGTATTTCCTCACAAGAGTAAAGTAAAGAATTTTGTTATGAGGTATTTCTAGTAAAAATTTACACATCAATTTGGCAATTTAAAAAATAAACATTAGGGCTAAATTCAGTCTCATGTTACTAAATAGGAATATGCAATAGAGTAGTGATGGATAAAGAAGTTATAAATTTACTTCTCTTCAACATGTTATAACTATTATTTTGCCTGATTATAGAGTAAGTTTTCATATTTTATGGAGGGAACAATTTACATATTCATCCTGTGCCTTAGTTTCCCTGTCTGTAAAATGGTGATGATAATAACACAGGTAAGTATTTCATAGAGCTTTTGTGAGAATTAAATGAGATAACAAACACAAGCATTTATCACATACTGCGTGGCACATGGAAGCCCTCAACACATGGTAGCTATTGCTAGCTGTTATTGGCTCATCTAAGGAATAAATAGGTTCCAGAGAACTCAGGCTTACTTAACTTTTAGATCTCCTTGATGTCATAAATATACTAAAGATAAATAAAATACTTTCAAAGCTCTCATAGAAAGTCTTATTCACGCAGGTATGAGGTTTATCATGTGCCATGGAAGCCACCCAGTCTCTTTGAAATGGATATTTATCTCGAGACTGATTATTTTCTCAATGTTAAGGTGACCTGAGATGACTTAACAGAATAAAAAACAAAAGCTGGAGTTGAGGGAGGTATGTTCTCTCATCTTAGCACAAATTCTAAAAAAAAGGGAATTATTCTAATTTATATAAGAAATGCCACCAAACAGATACATTTATTTATTTTCTTTCTCCACCCCTTTCCTAGCATTACCGAGGCATCCTGAAGATAAACACGTTAAGAACAGAGCAGAAGTCCACCTATATGGTGTGAAGCTTACTTCAAGTTGCCGAATAGAAGACTCTCTCTCATGAATAAGGCGGAGGTCATCCTCCGTAATTTCTTCATCCTGCACCTGCACTTGTGGTTGAGTTTGGCTAAGAGAAAGAACAGAACATGGAAAAAAGAAAGACTAGGATTAAATAACAGGACTTCTTTCTTTACTTAAGAAATACTTACTAAATGGAGTATTTTTTCTTCAAAGTCTGATAATTGCTCCCTTAAATTCTAAGAACAGAAGTGTGAATCAAATTTTATTCATGTTTCACTTCACTGATACTATTTTTTATTGTTACTTAATTATTGGAGGCTACATTTGGCAACAGTGTATTTCTTTTCAGTTGACTTAAACTTCACATGAGGAAATAATCTATATCAAATGATAATTAACTCAGCAATATTTTGGATAAACAACTACTTATAAAATAAAGTATTACTGCTATATTAGAATGTTATCAAATTTGTAATTCATACTTTATAAATCATTGTCTTGAATTTTTTCAAATTTGTTGTTTTCTATTTATAAATAACAGGATAGTCATTACATAATATACTGAAAGCTTGAATTCTATTTCAGAGATTATAGTGTATAAAATGTATATGAAAAATCTATCTTTTGATCTACACAGTGTTTTCTATTTCTTACCTTTCCCAGGATACAAGATTCCTTTCTTTTGAGGTGTCCTCAGGAAAACCACCCTGAATAATTCAGTAATAGAATAGATTGAGAAGGAGCAAAGAAAACCCCCATAAAACTCACATTTTGCTTTATAACAACCTAACCTGATTTACGAATACCTGTGTGCACACGTGTGTAGAGGAAGAGCAAAGTTCGTGTTCTAATTTTATAGGTCAAATACTTCAAGTAATAATAAAATTACATCCTAAACTGACAAGGAAGGAATTCATTAAATATTCTCAAGGGCCAAATAATAAATATTACTTGATCAAAACATTATGTAGTCTTGGAACCTCTATATTAAGAAACAAAAAACTTGTGACAGTTTCTAAGGGAATTTAGATTAAGTCAAAATCCCACTTTACATTATCCTTTTATGTATTTTCTCCAGTCTTCTATTCATTTTTAGTGTTTATATGACATACTGTGCTCATCTGCATCCTCTTCATATAACCCAGGGGAGTAAAATGCTGTCTAATGGAGCACAGACACTGACAGCCTCAAGTACAGATCAGTGAGGGAATACTAGTCAGGATTTACCTCTCATCTTTTCTGATAAAATGTTCCTATATTTTTGTATAATCTGTAATGTTCTGTTCCATGACATGGGCAAAATAACCACAATACATAACTATCATCCTTCGTAAAATTGAGCAGAAAAAAACTGAAAATAAATATTCAAATACCAACTTCCAAGATATTTAGGTATTTATGACTTAAATGCTCATGCCAATGTAGTCTTTTAAGGGACCCTTAGAGAATATCACATTCATTTTTACAATGCCTTTTCAAATACTTACAGATACTCTGGAACTGGCTCTTACTCGAGCCACAAACTCTTTCTCTTTCTCAGCAGCTTGCCTCTGGACCTTCTGAAAATTTGTCAGTGATGTTGTGAACTCAGCCACTAGGCGATCCTTCTGTATTTTCCTTTGACGCTGGAGGAAATGGGGAAAAAAACCTACTAGAATCAAGCTGTGAAGTTCTATAGAATTTGCAAAAGCTGTTTTACCACTAGCTGGCTCTTTATTTAATTCTGAAATTCTCACTCACTCTCAATTACAGGGTCTTACTCAATAAGTTTCAATAATATTGACAATTAACGTTCAAATACTGTGTACATTTACCTTGAGGTAAAAGGCCCATAATGCTGGATTTCTCACCAAAAACTTTTATTCAAACAACTGGGCCATGATTCTGAGGTTATTTCAAAGTAGTCTTTTTTTTTTTAGGAAAATGAAACCTTAAACTCCTATCTAAGCAATAACTTTCACTAAATAAGCAAGGAATAAAGACATGGTAAATGAGTGTGCATGTTACATAGAGTCAGTCCTGGAAAGCAGGAAACAATTACTCAGGAAGTATTTTCTGAGCACATAATTAGGGGTCACAGCAACAGCATGGAAATAAATTTTGCTTTACTGAACCACAGGATACTACCTGGGCAATTAAATAGTTTTGTGTTATGTGAACTAATCTCAAATAGAATTCCCCCCTCCCCTAATTTCCTTTCTAGTACAGCAATTCAAAGATCCTACAATGCATTTGATTTCTTTCACATTCATTCAGCACATCAACAATGCGTCTTTAAGCCTGATACCTGTTCACTGGGGGTGGTGGGCAGAGATCCAAACTCTTTAATGTACTTATCTGTTTCTTTGGCGAGTTGGTTAGTGTACTGCTGCTTCTGATGCCTGAAGGGAGGAAACACGCATTACGGCCAAGAGGCTAATGTATTTCTTATTTAAGCTACTGCTCAGCCACTTCAATCACCCCTGATAGTTTCATAAAAATCACTTTTTTATAGACTGCTTCCAAATTTTCCCTATAAGAACAAAATTTGTAGGTTCCATTCTTTGATACATATCGAGCAAATTGCACATGGGAAGTTCTTTATTCACATAGGGTAACTGAGCTTTGAGAAATAAAAAGCAGCAGCTTTGGACAGGAACATGGCTTGAGCCGGCATGATACTGTAGGATGTCTGGTGTTGGAGATACTGGAAGTGTGGGAGCCTTTTATCTGCATCCCACAATTGAGAAGTCAATGGAATAAGTAAAAACATCTGTTGCTTTAGATTCTACCTAGTTCCTAAATCTTAGGGTATATCTAGCCTCTCTTCTTTCTCTCCTGTCCATTTGTATCTTTAAAATGCTTACATTAAAAAAAAAAGGAAAGACGTAATAAGCAATAGTATAAATTTCCTACTATTTCAGTCTGCTGTGAAAAAAATAATATTGTTTCTCTGTAAAGGAAACAGGATTACAAGAGGTAAACTGTACTGTATCTTTAAGTTGGTATCTTTAGCTCTTGTTAGCAGGCTTATGAAGTAAAAAAGTAAAATTTTTAAATAAAGAACTTAACACTAAACAGATAAGCTTGTATTAACGTGATGCTTTACAAATTACAGTATTTGAACCTCTCAAATATATTCTCTCTTATTATAACATGTATTGCTCACATTTAGGACCCTTTAAAATAATGAGATACTACATAAAAGTATGGTTAAGTGTTGATATCTGTATTTGAGTGATAAGAAAGAATTACAGCCTACTTATATATATTTATCATGTACCCTATCTTTAATATGCCTTTTTAAATCTTTAGGAAACATAATATAGTTAAATTTCTTAAAGGAAGGTTTTATTTTACACCATTCAGAATCTCCACTATTTACACCTTAGCAAATGTTGTAGCTATTAAGAATTATGTGTTTCTATTACATTTTACTTTAATAATGATGGTTTATTATTTAGATTTGGGGCATTTTTACTACCCTATCTATCTGCTGCAGAAAAATACAATATAAATGAGAGAGAATTATAAATTCCTCCAGTTTCACATCAGAAAAAATATGAATTCTTATTACCTCTTTTAATTTCTTCCTCTTTGCAATTTTTCCTTTTATGGCTAATGTTGTTTGGAATATCACCTACTACATATATATTACTTGAAATTTGGCTGTAACAGCATTGAATTAAGATTTAAGATTCAGGTGCAGAATGATGTTAGACAAATCATCAAACCCACAAGAGACACATCTTCCTTATGAGCAAAATGGAAATAGTTCTTTTAATCTATACATCTCACTCCAATTTTGTAGGGTTCAGAGGAGAAAATGTGTAAAAACTATAAAATCTATAATACCATGAAGTATTATTGTTCTTCTAACGGCATATTTACTTACTAAAACATGTATTATATAACCTCGTGATAACTTTTTTTAAACCGAGGCTAATGCTTTCCTAAATTCAAGGATCTCAGCATAAGCTTTTGGGGGGATAGTTCATATTGGATATGTACTGGATCTAAACGAAATAAAAATCTGGTCATTGTGGGGATTGTCAGCTATGGGAAGTAGGTCACATAAACAGAGAAGTTTAGAGTACCATTTTTCAAAAGCCATCCAAAATAACCTATTTAAATAGTATGATAAAGGCCTTAAAGGAAGTTCTGCTTTGATAGATCTTTAAAGATCTGCTTTAAGCCAGATCTTTAAAGTAAAAGGAAAACACTTGCCTACACTGGACAGGGAAAAACCTACACAGAATCTTGGTACAATTAATTTTCCATTTGCTTCTCCAGTTAACATAACACTAAACCCTATCAAAGCAACAAAACAATAGGTCTTTCTTTCTGTTTAATTAAATACTTACAGCTGTTGCCTCAATTCAGGTGAGTCTTGAGGTGTGCCAAGTTGATTCAGAGTCCTCTGTATTTCCACAGCTATTACGGTGGAAAATAAATACATGATTGTTACAAATGTCAGGGCAACAGAAATTAAGTTAGAAATTAACATAGGCAATTGGACAATTAGAAAATGATAGAAAAATAAAGATGAAAACATTAACTGAGAAAAAAGAAAGGGTTTTGGGGTTTTGTTTTGTTTAAACCTAATTAGTGACAATAATAGATTACTTTTTAAGTGGAAATTATGTGGAGATGTGAACATGTGAAAATGTACTTATTATCCAGAAATACTACCTTCTTCCCTATCACATCACAACATTTAGTACAACGGCACATGGACTTTCACTTAAACTCTACTGGCATAAAAAATGTGAGGAAAACAATTGTAAGAATTATATAATTCATCGGAATATAAAGTGAATGAATTAGTTAATAAGTGAGGGAGGACCAGAAAATAAGGGAGAACTAGAAAAAAGCATTTTTTGATTATCTGTGTAATAACTGAATGAGGCAAGGATCATCAAAGGATGTTAAAAACAGAAAATAGTCACACAACCTGAAATTATCACCTCACAGGTGACATTAATTATAAAAGTGTTAACTTTATCATAGATAAGTTTGTTGCTTAAATCAAATGACCAAATTTAGCAGCACCAATGGGACAAATTGGTATTAAGAGCATCCTGACACACAATGAGAAAATCAAATTGGATCTATACTTTTCTCTTGTCAAAATATTTAACCTGAATCCAATAATAAGAGGAAAAAAATCACACCAATGTAGACTGTGGTATAATCTACAAAACCAACTTGGTCTGGACTTTTAAAAATAGCGATGTCTCTCACACATACACACACAAACAGCACAGGCAGGGAGCATTCCAAATTAAAGAAGTAAAGCACCCAAAATACTAAACCACTCAAAAGGCAATGTATGAGTTTTGACGGGATTCAGAATCAGTCTAATGCTATAAAAATACTGTGGGGACAATTAAGAAACTTGGATTTTGAAATCTGAATTCGGAGAGAAATAGATACTAGACAAAAGTGGAACAATGTCAGCAGTTGGTGAGCCTAGGTGAAGGGCATATAAAAAGTTCATCCTACTATACTTCTACTTTTCATAGGTTTAACATACTTAAGATGATCAGTCAGGGTTTTAAAATTCATGCTAAGCTCACTATCTAAGTGAGCTCACATTCTAATCCAAAATCTAAGTACTGCAATAAAAAAGTCTCTTCACAAAAGGGGAGATCTATAGCTTTATGCCAGTGTGTCCACAAATAACATGTTAAGCAGAAATAAGTTGAAAATCCATCTCAAAGCAGTGAAGTTTCACATTGCCCAGAACTAGGGAAAAATGATCTAACCCACCCAATTCTTTTTATTTTAAACAAGTGGTGTATTTATATAGTTTAAATGTTTTAAAATAGTCATTATTTATTTATGGGATCAAGGAAATGATTGCACTCCAAATGCAGGATAATTGTGTTCATTGAGGATGATGTAATGAACATTGCTTTCAAGTCAAAGCTGGAAAATATAAATACTGCAGAGAGTCATAGAGCTTATAGGGACTGTTAACCATTCACGTAGTTTCAAAGGAGTTTTTTGCCTGTTTCTGTTTGGTAGTAGATTTTTCTTTTGCAGGGTAGAGAAATCATGTTTGCTGTTTTTAACTTATGACTCCTTGCAATTAGTTATATATATTTTTTTCAATCTCAACAGGTTTTTTGGACTTTCTTACAGGAATGTAAAGCTTTTATTTTCAAAAGAAGTATGTTAAGACAAACTGTAGCGTGGGCATCTGTAGGATAGAAGCAGGCATTCCGCTCATCTCTCGAGGGTTCTTATCTTTTAAAAAAGTCATTTTAAGTGAGAAAAAAACAGATTATTTAATAAATGACACAAGGAAAACTGACTAACCATTTGGGGATTGAAGCAGAACTCTATCTTACTTTAACAAAATAAATCTGTAATAAGTTATTAATTTAAATATTAAAAATTTAAATCATTAAACTGACACATGAAACTACAAATAGATATTTAGCATATGATCTTATTTATGATTTTAGAGGAGGATAAAATATTACCTAATGATACAAAACTAAAAAGCCTGAAGGAAAATACGACAAATTTGACAACACAAAACTTTTTAAGTTATATGAAAAATGTGTACCTGTACTACAGATATACATAAATTACACATGTGTATGTGTGTATATGGGATAAAATATCTGCAGCCATTGAGAAGGAAAGGTCAATATCCCTAACATAGAAAAAACTCCTACAAATTGGTAACAGAAAAATGGATAAAGGATATCATCTTGATATTTACAAGCAAACAAACAGGAAATTCAACTTCTCATCAATAATAACTTTTCACAGATCAGACTGGTAACAAGAAAAATAAGCAGGTAAAGATATTTAAACAAAGCCCTAAAAACAAGAAGTAGAGGTACATGTAAGAAGAAAAATATCAATATTGCATGAAGAACCAGAAATTATTGAGAAAAAGTCACACAAGCCAGCATAAAAATGGGCCAAGAACAGTTACTTTAATAATAGTCACTGGATAAATGAAAAGCAAAAAACGACTGAAAAGTAGATCAATCTTGGAAAGGATAAATAACTCTGACTTATGACTGCTCTGTAGAATTGCTCAGCCATTAAAAAGAATTAAGTAGAACTGCTTCTGACAGGCCCCATGGGAGCCTCTATCTACCAAGTGGTTATTTCCCTGGTATTTTTAACAGATATACTCAGCGAGCCCCGTGTTCACCCTTACCTCCTGAGTAAGGGCTCTCAGGGGAAGGAAGAGAGAGATCATCTGAAGCCACTGGAGGCGCTGCATGCTAACAAAACTGTAAACCAAGAGCAATTACCTACTCCTGTCAAATTGCTCAGAAATGCCACTACAAGCTGAGAGTGCTGATGCCCTCCTCTTCCCACTATGCTGGCCAGCCTGGCAGGGGCATGCAGATGTCATGATGGCTAGAAGTGTTTTCAGATGCTGACTTCAAATTCAATAACCTGCATTTGAAGAGATCATTACAATCTCCTGATGATACGGTAAATACTTATTTGCTCTATCTTAAAAATGTAGAGAACATGAGAAGAAGTTTGCATTCAGTTGGATGAGACAGCAGTGAGCTTTCAGTGTCAGGGTTATCTATTATACACACTCTTCATCTCTATACTACAATTTAGTTTTCAAGGATGATCACCTACACTAGTCCAACTCACTGCTTACATCTGCTTTTAGGACCTGAAAAGCAGCAAGTACACCCTTGGAAGGAGGTAAATGTGCCAGCTGGTAAAAGATAAATCCCACAGCAAGACAGGGCCTTGTTTCCTCAGCCAAGAACCTTGGTCTATTCATTCATCTGTATGAAGTACTGACATGCTCCTACAAAATAAATGACATATTGCTTTTCTTTGCAATCTCAAGTACAAATGAGGAGCAGTGCTTAGTGAAACTTTCTAGTTTGCTCCAAACCATTTCACTGAATGCCCGCCAAGGTTGGCAGCTCTGGTTTTAAGTCCCCAAAAGAAAGGCTACCCATCTGGTTCAAGTGCGTACCCAGCAATACAATCACCTCAACAACTTGGCTTTAGTGGCTGTTTGATCCAATGGTAACTTAAGTGCCTGTGTAAGTATCAGGATGCTGTATAAAACTCCTAATAGGAAAAAACACGAGTCCTTTAGAATGGATTTGGTAGTGCATGGGATTCCACACATTAGTGCTTCTGATCAGACATTCATTTTACAGAGAAAAAAAATTAACACATCTTCCAAAGACAACAGGATTCACTGGTCTGCCAGTATGGCATTATCCAGAACCTGGTGAACTTCTGGAATGTTTAATGGCCCATTTTAGACTAATTATGGTGTCACCTAGGAGACAATATCATGGGAAGCTAATGTGCTGTCCTATAGGAATTGAATGCTCTCAAATAACAACCATGCTGTTTCACCCACAGCCAGTGAGAAAACTCAAGATTTGGGAACTAAGGTGAAAGTGAAGAGAAACATTTCATATTAACAGCTAAGTACCTACTTACAAGTTTTCTTCCATCCCCGAGGTAATTTAGAGACAATATCCAAGTGAGGAGTACAACCCGGTCAAGGCTGGGACTACATCTAGCCACCTGGAGCCAGGGTACTGTAATGTCAACTGAGGTAGTTAAAGGGGTGCAAGCGTATGCTTACACCAAAGTCAGAAAGAGGAGTGCAAATAAACTCAGTAGATTAGCTGGAGGAAACTTGCTAATACTGCCACCTTCAGTCATATAGTCAGTACCACATAGCATGTGAGCAGGAGCAAGGACCCGGCTTCAAAGTCTGGGTCACTGCAAACAGCCGAGGTGTGAAATGAAGGTAAGAGCATGAAACAGCCCTCAAGGAGAAGCAGTATTCATGCAAACTGCAGCTACGTTTCCTGCAGAGCAGCAACTCCAGCGCCTGTCAGTATCTTCTTCCTTGCTCTGCAATGTGTGTATTTAGATGGTATAACTATCTGCCTCCTGCCCTATCCATATCCCCCACTGTTTTATAGGGGTGTGTTGTTAGTGGTCATCACACTTACACTCTGGTCTACAGGCTAAGGAATACTGTGACTCAATCCTGCCGAAGCAGGGGAGGAAAGAACTGGAATCGCTGACGAGACCTGGCACTGGATGCAGGAGCTGAACAGGCCTTGCTTTTACCCCTTCTGGGGAAATGGGAGAGGCACTCTGATGGTGTGACAGTAGAACTATGTTAGGCAGGGGATTTTTTTTTTTTTTTAGCTTATGTATTAAAAAAAAAAGGAAATGTCACTGTGGGAAATAAAAGGGATGAACTATAATGCATATTTATTTTTGGCTAACTAATATCCAAAATGCTTATTATATTCAGATCTTTTGGTTAAAATATCATGACCACTGGGAAGCACCATTAGAGAACCAGTCCTACAGGAAAATGCTGGTTGTTAAAGCAATATAATGGTTTTAAGAATCCTTGAGCTTTGCTTACCTCCATTATAAATAGATGT